AGTGAATGTCACCCTTTGTTCTGTGGGTCGGAGCGAGGTCTGGGAGCCACTCTAAATCCTCCCTTTGGAAGGGTTTAGGTGGGACACAGATCTCTCCCTGCCCCCTGAACAAATAAGGATGTTTTTCCCTCTGTGTGACGTCGATCCCAGTGCAGGGGTTGCAGCCCCACGTCCCGTTGGATGTGGGAGATCCCCTGGGCTGAGCTGGACGTCACCCCACGGGAATAACTCAGGTGTAGCTATAAAGTCTCTTTTAGGCAGTTTAGAAATTAATTCAGTGTTTAAAAAAATACTTTTATTTCTCTCATTAACACTTCAACAGCTGGAGGAAGCAACACCCCTTCTCATCTGAGGAACAGGGAGGGGGCAAAGCAAAGAAATAATCCTCTGGATATCGGATCCTTAGGGGATGGCCGACCCTGAGCCACATTTCCTACCACCACATCTCGTATCATCTGCACCAAACTGGGAGCTCCTGGTGCCACCAAGCCCAGCAGCATCACACACCCACCCCACCCAGCTCCCAGTTCCAGTTCAGAGCATGAAAACTGGGAAGAAACTCCTCAAGAACAGGCAAACCCAGCGTAATCCTGGAATTCCTCAAGAAGCCACCTGAAAAGGAAACCCCCTGAGCATCCCTCAATGCTGAGGTCTCCTGGCACGGAGAAGGGAGCAGATTCCCATCACTGCAGGAATCTCCCTGGTCGGCAGCCAAGCCCTGGCTCCGGCTGTGCCGGCCCATCCCGCAGCCGGAGATGCTCCAGGGTCGGCACAAGGCGACCATTCAGTGTGTGGGCTGTGCCTGGGTCATGGCACAGACCTCAAGGCACAGCCCCAGCACCAGCCCCGGAGGAACCGGAGCCATCTGCCCACTGGGCTGCCCTTTCCCAAGCTCCAGGAGGGAGCTTCATTCCAGCCCTTTCCCAATCACCCTCCCTCCCCTTGGATTCATTAGCAATGGAGTTGCACAATGGGTGGATGGAAAAGCTGCCATCCCACAGGAAAAGCCCCAACCAGCCAGAGTGTTGTGTAATGACAATATTTGGCAGTTTCCTTATTAATTTTTTTCAATTTTTATTTTATATTAAAGCCCAAGGACACTGTCGCCTCGGCTGAAGGCACGGGTACCTTCCCAGACTGAGTGGAAACTTTCCCTGGGATTCCCCACAGCCAGATTGGGACTCTGCCACTCTGAACATCCCTCCATGGCTGGGAAGTCACAGCTAAAGGGAAAAGCTCTGTTCCAACACCGCTTCTCCTCGAGGGCTCCACTCCCACTCAGATCCACCACGGAGGAACCCTCAGAGGAGCCCAGTGCCTGAGCCACCCCCTGGGACAGGCCTCGGAGAACAACAAAGCCACTTCTCAGGAGTTTCAATCCAGTTGAAGGGTCTTTAAAGTTTGTTCAACTGTGCCAGAGTCCCTTTGAACTTCGGAGCCACAGAGGGAGCCACTGAAAACAAAAGCGTGTTTACCAGAACATGGTGTCTCAGGTGGAAAACACTGCAAATTCTGCAGGAAGCTGGAAAAAAAATCATAAAAAAATCCACCCAGGATGACATAAATCCCCCTGATTTTTGGCTGGGAGCATTTTGCAGGGCTGAGCAGGGCTGGACCCCCTCCTGGTCAGAAGAAGGTTTCTCATTTAGAAAGAGGAACCCAACGGGCACGGAAGTGCCTGGCCATCAGCTCCTGCTCTGTTTAGCAATCCCTGCAGGATGCTATTCCATGAACACCCCAAACAACTGCCTGCCTGGGAGGCTAAATCCTTAAAAACAAGTTAAGAGCAATAATTGAAGGGAGGGTGGTAGAAGGACCATGGGATCACTGCAGAGCAGCCACGGCCCCGCAGTTGGACTTGATTATCTTAAAGGTCTTTTCCAACCTGAATGATTCCCTAGTTCCATGGACACAACGGCTCCAGCTGTACTTGCAGGACACTCATATGAAATAGGTTCATGTGGAACCTCATTCAGGTCCCTGTGGTTGCAGTGCCCTTTGTGGGAAGGGTTTATGTCCCTCAGTGCATCGCAGTTGTGACCAATCACGGGCTCCGAAGAGAAGCCAACAGAGAAACAACACAAAAATCCCACATCCACTGCTGGGAATGACAAAGAATTTTCTGTGAAGTCTCTGTTGCTCCCCTCGCCCTCCCTGACACACATCTCATTCCATGTTTGAGGAAAACAAGCAGCAAGGAGGTCTTTCACAAGGAGGAGTTCTCCCCTTTCCATACCAAAATTCAGCTGACCAGGGCAAGTCGAGGGCAGCAGATGCTGCTGTTGCTGATCAAAGGGACGAGCTGTCACTCTGGACAGCAGATGCTGTTGGAAGCAGTTTCTCCCACTGGAGAATCTACTTTATTGTGTTTTCTTTAGCAAATGAAATTCAGTTTTACCCCCTTGCTCATTATCTCCCAAACCTCCAGGAAAAAATAACCCAACCTCTTCCAGCCACGTCACCAAGCTCTGGTGGAGGGGAACTATGGGGGTCAATGAATCCAGAAAGAAAGAAATCAGGTATTTTAAACTTTGAGATATGACCCATGGCTGACTAAATTCAACATTTTTTTGTCATTTTGTGCTGGTACCTGGTTCAGTTTTCCTTAAACCTCTTTTGCCAAGGAGATGCTGGCAAGATCACTGTGAACATATGGATCAATGCCAGAGCCTGTAGGTTAGTACATGAGAAAGATCTTCAGCAGCAAGGGAAAAATAATGAAAATTCATAAAAAGCAAAGCAAGCAAGTTAAGGAATTCATTAAGATCAGGTAATTAATAAAAAAAATATTTCTTAGTGTGATGTTTCCTCTTTAAAACCAGCGTGAAACATTCACCAGGAGGACATCGTGTAGTGATGGTCATCACTGCTCAAAGATGTGTCCAAACCAAGCACCCCCCACCTTTGGGAGGTCTGGACCCATTTCTGAGCTCTTGGATGGGACCCTGGTGCCAACTGACATTGGGTTGAGGTGGCTGAGAGTTCGAATCCCTTTGCTTTGCATCCCAAGTAACTCTGCTGGGAAGTTCATCACTGGGAGCCCCTACACTGAACCCAGGCCCTGCAGGAGCTGCCCTGACACCACCACAGATAAAAACATGCAGAGCAGGTGGAAGGTGACAGACTGAGGTCCTCTCTCCATGAAACAGGTCCAGCAGGAGTGGTGACTTCCCATCACCACCCTGCCAAAACATCTCAGCCTTCAGCTGGAAGAGATGCCAAAAATTCAGGTTTTACGATTTACTACCTTATTTATGTAAACACCCCTCCACAGGCACCGGATCCGAGGTGCTCCAGTTCATTGCACGTAGGTCCCTGCACAGCCAGGCACTGGCCAAAGACTTTGGGTTCTGCCCTGGAGATCCACACAAACCAGCTGCAAGTCCCCACGATTCAGCTCAGCTCCAGGAGAGCTCAGCACTTCAGCGCAGGTGAAGCAGCACCTGAGCTGGTTTGGGGATCTCCACACTGTCCTGGGAGCTGGTTTGGGGATCTCCACACTGTCACCTGAGCTGGTTTGAGAATCTCCACACTGAGCTGCCAGGGAATAAACAACCTGACAGCCAAGGTTCTCCATATGCTGATTGTCTCACCCATTCCTGCTGCACTCGAAGCAAGAGCTGGTTGGCAAAGCGATAGCACAGAGCTCACGTGGGCATGGCCACACACCTGGACAGGAGCTGCACCTGCCCCGACACTCCCCAGTGCTAAAGAGCTTCAAAGGACAAAGTGTGAGCGAGTACCGTGGTGTCCTTAATGCCTCTCCACCCAAAATAACCCCACACTATGAGGAGAATCCAGCAGAAAGCTCTTGGAGGATCCCGGCTTCCCAACGGCCGAGTTTATAAAAACACTGAGGAGAAAAAGTAGTTCAACGAGCCACTTGCACAAAGCACAAGCACAAAGATCTGCAGCAGAGAGCAAAGCAGCTCAATGTGGGGAGAAGATGCTTCTGAATTCCAACTGATACCAGAGAGCAGAGGCACAATGAGCAAAGTGTTCAAGAACTGCAGCTTTGCTGAAAAGGCGACGCTTTTGACCAAATAAAGCAACGTGTTCCTAAGAGGACAGTTGGACTAACTGGGAACTAGAGGGATTTTGGGTGTGCTCAGGGGATAGGATTGCACCACCCATGACAGCCAAAGAGGATTTCACGTGCACGAGGTTTGTGCTCAAGGATCACTCCCAGAATGGGAGGGTGGTGGAGGGATCTCACCAAGCCAAACCTGATGCACAAAGGAGGCCCAGGCCCCAGGCCAGGCTCCTCAGAGCAAAACACACCATCGTTACTCCAAGGGTGCCGAGGCCCTGGCACAGGCTTTCCAGGGAAACTGTGGCTACCTCATCCCTGGAAACATCCAAGGCCAGGTTGGACAGGCTTGGAGCAACCTGATCTAGTGGAAGGTGTCCCTGCCCATGGCAGGAGGTGGAACAAGATGAGCTTTAAGGTCCCTCCCAACCCATGATCTACAGCAGCCCGAGGTGAAAGCCAGGCTCCAGCCACCTGCCCTTTCTACACCCCACACCCAGTTGGTCCCATCTCTGTGGCACATTCCAGAAGAGACACAGTGTGATGGAGGGCACAGCACCAGGAAACGCACGGACAGACCCCAGGGAATGTGCCAAGGGCACCCCACCCTTTATTTCTCCTTGCAGATGGTTCAGGGGAAAACACAGATCACACCAAGGGCAATGAGCAGGGCCATGTGGAGAGAACAATATTGCTCATCCCATGCTGGATGAAAGCCTGTCCACAGAAAAGCATGGAATGAGCAAGCCAAGGACTTGGCCTTCTGCTCGTTGCAGTTCCCTGGGTTTATCTGGAGGAACTCCACCCTTGGGCCTACACCTGCCCCAGTGCTCCTTCACAGGGCCATGGGATGGGCATTCTGGTGAAGAGCATCCTGGAGAACTGGCTCAACAGCAGGGGATTAGATATGGGAGTTAAAATCCAGGTGCTGGCAGGGGAGTGCTCTGTCAGGAACACAGTGACAGGCAGACGCTAATTCTGCTCTGCCTTGTCTCACCTCAGCCACTGCCAGTGGACAGAACCCAGAGTGTCCAGCAGCATGCCTTGGTGTGAGTTTGTGTGTGTGTGAGCCAATACCAGCCAACCTTTGTTTCCCAACCACCCCCTTTGGCCAGGAAAGGCAGGTGGGGCAGGCTCAGGCCAACCCTGGCTCTGTGACAGCCCCAGGCACACCTGAACACCCAAACCAGGTTCCTGAGCAGATCCATCCTCATCTGGGGCATCCCAGCCCCAAACCAGATGAGCCCACCCAGAACCAAGTACAGCCCTTGATGTCGCACACACACAGATGCTGATGGGACAGGCAGGACCCCTTTGGAAATGCCCTTTGGAATTCCTCCTCCTGGCTCGTGTCCATACCAAGAACTCATTGCAGGGTCATCCGTGTGCCAGGGAAAGGTGGGGCTGGAGGGGCTGGAGGAGACAAGGCAGAGCTGGGATGTGGTGTCAGCAGGAAGCGGCTCCCACGGGGCTTCAGGGCCTGGGATCTGGGTGTGAGGGAGCAGATTCTTGTGTCGTCCTAAAATAAAATTGTGCGTTTCCTCGAGCTGAATGTCTCTGCTTTTCCTGCCTAGGATTCCTGAGGAACCACTTCCATCAGCTTCTGGCACAGGACTGTCGCGGAGACTGGGGAGGAAAGCAAAGGAAAGGTCAGGGATCACACGCAGGGGCCCAACATAAATCTTGGTCTGGGCTCATGAGAGAAGGTCTGACCCATTTGCCTTCCAATTTAAGGCTTGAAATAACCCACAGGATACTCCCCACTCATTCCCAGAATTCCAACACGTAACAGTGGGAGTTCTGCTCTTGCAGCAAGGATGCTCCAGGAGAGGCTCTGGGACTCTGGACACCAGTGATATGGTAACTCATTTTGGATGCCATAAGAGTGAGCAGCCAAAACTGAGTCAGGAATGGGCATGGAAAATCCAAGGTGAAGCTTTTACTTCCAATTTTGTAATCCATGTGAGCCCATGGCCTCTTGGAAGGACAAACCCACCTAAACCCACCTGTCCTGCCCACAGGGCAGAGGCCACTGCCTGGCCCAGGGCAGGTGGGAGTAAAGGGACCATTCCAGGTGCAGGTTTGCCCAGGAAAAGGTGTTAAACTGAAGGAACTTTATTTTTCCACCCATTAAGTGTTGGTGGTCGATACCCAAACACTCCTCTGCTCCCTGCTGCTCCTGTGTTTGGAGATCACAACATACTCCTGCCTGGTAAAATTAACTCTAAATACAACCAGGTCAGGCTCAAATCAGTTGGAGGTGCTCAAATTATCTGCAATATATCAATAAATACAGGTTTAAAGGTCATATGTTTCTAACTGGATGTTTGCAGGATTATCATTCTCTGTTCCCAGAATATTTTCTATATTTTCTTTACAAGCCTTTGGTGGAGAAAAACAATGAATATGGTAATTTGCCACCCAGGCACTGCAAAAATGGCTTTTCCAGGAACTGAGCCTAATACTCAGGATAAAAAGTGAGTGTGGGAGAGGGAAACAGAAACAGGGAAAAAAAGAATAAGGAGTGCTGAGCACTGCTCTGAAAGCCTTTTTCTTCCTCATAAAACACCCAGCTAAGGCTGGGCACTTCTCCTCGTCTGCTTTTCTAGGTCAGCCCGTTGTAGGAGAGCTGGGAGGCAGCTGGTATAGTTCAGTTACTTGGACAACATGGATTGACTTTCTGGATTCAGTTGTTCAGGCAGAGGTTCCATGTGCCAAGCACAGCCTCTCCATCCCTAAACACACCGTGGGGCAGTGTCAGCTGTTGGAAAACCTTAGAGCAGATACCTTAAAAATAAACCTCCTAAGAGAACACATCCAGGGGACTTTCCCCTCCCTCTGCTCTGCTGCCACTGCCACGGTGTGATGCCAAGGAAAGCTGTGCCTGGATCTGAAATGTTAGCACTGGCTAAACCATGGATTGGGATTAATTGTGAATTTTCAGCAGTCAAACAGAGGCCAACTGTGCTCAATTCCTTCTTTTCCCTTCCTACACCATTGTAAAGGGATTCTCTGCTGAGCAAAGGCTTGGCCCTGGGCTTTTCCAGGAGGAGGAGCAATGTGCTCAGGGAATTACACTCTGCTGAGTAATAACAACCTGTTTTCCAAGATAAAAAAACCCTAGCACATGGTATTTGTCCCAAACTTTGCAATTATTGAAAGTCAGGGTGCATTTTGGGTGCTTGACAGACATGCTAATCATCAGGTTAAAATTGTCATCATTAAAGAATGGATCAGAGCCAAGACTTTGGAACCTCCTCCACAGGAAGGAGAGCCAGCACTCCCAGCTGTAGGATGTAACTGGGAAACTTCATTTTGGAGCAAGAACTGCACCCTTGCTCCTCACTGTGGGTACTTACAGATGCCTTGGAGAACCCACTTGGGCTTGTTTTGCCACCAGACCCCAAAGAAGTAAAAAGGGATCCCACTGAAGATGATGGCGAAGCCGATGGCACATTCCTTCGGCGTCATCCAGAAGGAAACAGCAATGAGGAACAGGCAGGCCAGGATGAAGAAAATGGGCAGGCAGATGTTCACCTGAGCAGGGACCAAGGAACAGGTCAGGAGATGTGTCGGGGGAACAGGGCACACTTTCCAGGGAAGTTTATCCGGCTGTACAGCCCAGGGAGAGACAGAGTTCACATTCCACCATGGCCAGGAGCCAGGAGCCTTTCTCAGCACCTCTCTGGATCCCAGTTCCATATTTCCATGATGCCTTATACAAAGCACCTGTACCAACAGCCCCAGCTTCAGCAGCAGCCACAGCACAGGCCATGGCATCCTCAGGGCTGTTCCTCAGTGGACTTTGAGCAGGGCACCCACTAAGAAACCCAAAACCACTAAGGAAACTCCCCACAAAGAGTCACTTTGGGAAGGCACCAGCACAGGCCTGGGAGTTTGTCTCTCTCTCGGTGTTGTTGCCTGGCAGAGACACGATTGTGCTGAGGGATGAGTGGGAAACATGCCCTGAAGGCCATCAGACACACCGGGGTGACACGATCTTGGCCTCCTCCCAGATGGGCCATGGAGCTGCCAAGCTGGCCAAGGACACAGGGAACAAAGCTCCCAGTGCAGGGGCTGCTTTAGCAGAGAACTATTTTAGGGGAAGTCCCTGATGGTACAGAGTGTTTCACTGAGAGCCACAGCCTGGGATCTGCCCTGGGGAGTGTGTTAGTCACGGACAGCTTCCCGCTGTGTTATCCCACCACAACATCCTGTGTCCCTGACACCCTGAGCTCCTTCACTCTGTTGTCCCCACGGCCATGGCAGCTCTTTGTCCTTCTGCACCAACTCCCATTCAGCAGCAGGAACATCTCCATTAGCTAAAACCCCACATCTCCCTGCAATCCCAGTCCCTCTCCCACGCAGGAGCAGCAGCTGAGCCTTCCCTGGTGCTGAGAAGGGACTCAGGGAGGACCCACCTCCCATTTCCCACCGTTCTCACCTTGATGGGCCTCTCCAGCTCTGGCTTCTTGTAACGCAGCCACATCATCCCAATGATGGCCAGAGCCACACACAGCCAGTTGAAGAAGCTGAAGAAGTTGATGACTGAGAAGATGTCGTTGGAGAAGGCGTAGAGCAGGGTCATCACACACTGAACCCAGGGAAAAAGCCATTAGCAAAGGGAGGAGGCAAACCCACGTATGATACAACACTAAACACAGGATTTTAGAAGAACTGCCTGCCAGGAGAAGGATCATATTCATTAGTTTTTACTTTTTTAAGCTATTTTCAATTGGTGCCTGGAATGATTGCATAGAATCATGGAATGCTTTGGGTAGGAAGGACCTTAAAGCCCATCTCATTCCACCCCCCTGCCATCAGCAGGGACACCTTCCACTAGACCAGGTTGTCCAGCCTGGCCTTGGACACTTCCAGGGATGAGGAGAATTCAAACCAGAAGTGGTCTAGGAGGATATGATGAGAAGGGTCATTCTCCTGTAGGTGGATGCAAGAATGGCTGTGACTGGAGGTGGGAGCCCCCCTCCAACCCCTCTGATGGGATCCCACCCCCACCCCTTCCTGCCCAGCCCAGCCCCGGGTGTTACCGTGAACACGAGGGATGGCAAAGGAGTGAGGAGCCTGGGGTGGATCATGGACAGGATTGAAGGCAAGTGTCCCTCTCGAGATCCCACGAAGAACAGCCTGGAGGGGGACACAGAGCAGTTACACCCCTGCAGCCCCAGCTGGGCTTTGTCTGCAGCACAGGGACAGCCTGAGCTCAGCCCAGACCGAGGCAGCAGGACTGAAATGCCAATCCCTGACTTAGAAGGGAGGCTGGAGATGGACAAAGAATGCAGGAAAGATGTATTTATCTCCATTCCAGAGACAGCCATTAAGTGACTTTCCTAAGACAACCCCGGAGATGTGTCAGAGCCAAAACCATCTCAGTCCCTGTCCTGACCCGTCCTTTCTCTCCTTCCTGGAGGGATTCTCGGCCCTGAAGTTTCACAACTTTCTGCTTTTCATTAAAGCCACTTTCCCATCATCACCGAGCCTGTGTCTGTTTCTGTTTTGTTGACTTCAACAGCACTTTGCCTGAGGAACAGAAGATTAAAACCCTGGAAGGTTTCCTTTAATCTGAGTATGGTTTTAAAGGCTGACTTTTTTTCCCCCTGCATTCCCCACATGGCCTCCAGACCCTTCAGACTTTGTGTCTGCCCACAGCCACTCTCTGGGGGACAACTCCAAAAGAAGAGGAACTAAGCACAGCTTGTAAACAAAACCCACAGGATTGAGCAACAAACCTACCGGGAAGAAGTGAAGAGAGATCCATTGACTGACCCAAAACACGACAGGCCAACAAAGACAGGGATGATCCAGGACATGACACCAAGGTGGTAGTTCCCAAAATCCTAAATGGGGGACAACAAGAGACATTTCATACCCAGAATGTCCAAAAGAACTCACAGCTGCCTACAAAGGCTTAATCTTTGCAGAAATCTGAGCAAAGGACACGGCTTAGTGCTGAAGCTGTTACGGAGTTTTCCATGTTGCCATTTGCTGCTCCTCTTTCCTGCAAAAGCATATTGTGGAACTGCTAAACTAAAGCAGCAGCCAGCCCTTCCCTCGGGGTCAGGACACACCATTTATCAGAACAGCCATCGGGAAGTTCAAGATCAAACGGAAACTGAGGAGCCTCAAACACAGAGCTGCTGCCAAGTGCTGAGTCAGGACCTGGGACACAGCCCTGGGGACATGGAGTGTCCTGGAGCTGCAGTTTTTTGTCACAGACTGACCCTGTGCTTCTCCACTGTGGTTTTACTCCAATTTATATTGATTTCCAGCCTTTGCCGTGATATTGATTTTCAGCCTTGCAAAGGCTCGTGGCTGCAGCAATGGACACAACTACAGCAACATCCCTGGAAGTGTCCAAGGCCAGGTTGAATGGGGCTTGGAGCAACCTGGTGTAGTGGAAGGTGTCCCTGCCCATGGCAGGGAGTTGGAACATGATGATCTTTCAGGCCCCTTCCAGCTCAAACCTTCTATTATTCAATGCAACACAGGCTGCACCTCCAAAACCTCGGCACCGCATCACTGTGGGCTGGAGCAAGGGCTTGGTGCCAACCCAAAGGATGGAGCACTGTCACCTGAGTGGCCCAAACCAGCTCATCCTGGGCTGAAAGATTCCCTTTGAAGCCTTGAACAATCCTGGTCACGCTGTTTGCAAGGTCTGCTCCTTCCTGAAGCAACCAGGATTTCTGACCGCTGTGACATTTTAATTAATAGAAGTATTATTTATCTCTCTCAATTAAAACAAGGAAGATACAGAGAGAAAACAATCTAGTTCAGTAATGACTGAATGACCTTTCCCCATGAATATTATGCTCTGGTAACTGATGAGAAGTCACAAGGCCAGCAGCCACCTTTCCTATTTGGGAACTAAGAGCAGCACTAACTGCTGCCCACCCTCACTGTCTGCCATTAATCCCACTTGGTATCACGCTGTTCTCCCCAGCTCCCATCACAGCTGCTCTTTATCTCCTCTTAAACATCAGGTTTTTTGTAAGCAACTATGACCAGCCTGGAACAAAGCAGGAAATGTGAGCAGAGATTGCAAGTGTGATTTAACCTGCCCTGGAAAACAGTCCTGTCGGAGCAGCCCCATCTTACCACGGCCACGGCCTCGGATGTCAGCATCTCATTTGTGGACAGCGTAGTGAAATAGGCCAGGTTGGTCAGCACATAGACCAGAGTGACCACGGGCAGGGAGATGATGATGGCCAGGGGCAAGTTCCTAGGAAAAAACATACACTGTCATGGAGAAGTTCAGAGGAGGGAGCTGCTGATGCCAGGGATCGCCGCCCTCCTGCGCTCGCTCAAGGTTTGTTTGAGTCCTTCTGCTCTTTGGCTCCTCAGCATGTCAGGTTTCCCAGCCACACTCTGCTCCCAGGGCAGAGGAGATGCCCATATGGGAATGAGCTGCCCAGGGAAGTGGTGGAATCCCTGGAGGTGTTCAAGAAACATGTGGATGTGGCACTTGAGTACATGGTTTAGTGGTGCTGCATTGACAGTTGGACTTGGTGATCTTAAAGGTCTTTTCCAACCTTAACAACTCCATGATTCTCTGAACAGCCTGATGGAGAGTGAAGGATTATGGCAAGAGGGACTTTTTCCATGGAGAGTCTCTGGCTGCCTGAGCAGGAGTCCAAGATCACTGCAATGGCAATTAATTAAAAACACCCAGTGGCATTAGCACGTGGATTCTCTCCTGGGCAAAGGAGACTCACTTATGCTGCTGGGTTTCCTGTGGGAGATGGGAAGCTCAGGAACCCAGCAGGCAGTTTTTAGCCTCTAACTCTGTGCAGATGGATGGGCTGAGAAACTCAAGGAAAATGAGTCCAGACACAGCCTGAGTGGGTCTGTAAACTGGCTGTGTTGGTACAAATTTGCCTTTCCAAACAGTTTAACTTCATTTGCAAATGGAAACTGAAAAAGAAAACCCTGCTTGGTGCCACATCTAATTGGTCCAGCGGAGCTCAAAGCCACAGGAGGAGAGTCAAATCCCATGACTGCATTCAGCAGACATGCAAAGAATTGCAAAATACAACCCTCCTTTTTCTAACTGTTTCTGAAGAAAAGGGAGTATAAAATCCTTCCCAGCACAAACGAATCACCACCAGGGTCAGCCAGGAACAGACTCTTTGCACAAGTGACCCTGAGACTCAGACCCCAGTGGCTCACAGGGACCATCCCATGAGCAAAAGGGATTTCTCAGCGTTGTCCTGCTTTGCTGTGGCCCATCCCGAGCTCGCCAGGCCCCCGAGTAACCCCAAAAGGCACAAGCAGCGCAGGAAGCAGCTGTTGCTCAACAGGATGGGAAGAGCACGGGACAAACACATGGACAAGCAGCACAAACCCTCTGCTGGGAGTTTATACAAGGCACTAATAAAACCCTGAGTGCTTCTCCCTTGCCCATAACTCACAGAGGTGTCACGCCAAGGAAGCAGGGCTTTCCAGCAGCACTGATATTAGTGGGACAGGAAAGCAGCGTAAACAACAGCCCTTCTCCTACAGAGATTATAATTCTGCTTCCCTGATTCTAGGGAGGAAAAAGGCCATTAATTTATCTTGTTTTCTATTTCCCCAGATAAAGACCTTGGCTTCTAGGCTGATCAGCAACCCCTGTTACACACACGAGGAAGAGGCTTCCCCAAAATACAGGGCCTTCTCCCAGGGATGTCATCCCAGGACACACACCCACCTGTAGGGATTTATCATCTCTTCTGTCACAAAATTCAAGTAATTCCTGGAATTTAAAAAGAACAGGGGTTCATTCTGGTTAGTCCATGGAACATATAAAGCCCTGCAGTTTAACTCATCTGCACGGGGATTTCAGGAGGGGCACAGAGATGGCTGTGGGAACACTTGGGATGGCTGCTGCCTAATTCCAAGACCTACAGTACCAAACCTGCAAGGAGCAAGCCAGGGAGAGCTGAGAGCCTCTTCCAGTGCCTAAAGGGGCTCCAAGAGAACTGGAGAGGGACTTTGGACAAGGGCCTGGAGTGACAGGACAAGGAGGAATGGCTTCCCAGTGCCAGAGGGCAGGTTTAGATGGGATATTGGGAAGAAATCGTTCCCTATGAGGGTGATGAGGCCCTGGCACAGGTTGCCCAGAGAAGCTGTGGCTGCCCCATCCCTTGAAGTGTTCAAGGTCAGGTTGGATGGGGCTTGGAGCAACCTGGGATAGTGGAACATGTCCTTGCCCATGGCAGGGGGATGGAACAAGATGATCTTTAAGGTCCTTCCAACCGAAACCATTCCATGATTCCATGATAAGGAGGCTGCAACTGGCCTGTTTTCACAGTAGATTGAGCAGCTCCTTGTGATTGCAGGTGCTCAAAGGAGCCCTCCAGGAGCTTCAGTTTGGTATTGAAATTGGTGTTGGGATTCAGTTCCCAAAGAAAAGAGAGAGAGGGAGCATCTTACCATCCTCCATAGGCAAAGAGGCCACTGTACAAAGCCAACACGATGTTCCCAACACCGACCTTCGTGCCCTCGAAGGAGTGCTCAGGAGTCAGGTTTGACACATCACCTGCAGGACACAGGAAAGAATCAATGATGGGCTGTGAACCCCAAGGGCCTCTGTGGGGGATGAAACAGAGAAACCTGGAGGGAAAAGCTGCTCTTAGGATTAATTATCTTAATTATCGTTCTGATGCATTTCAGGTTATGCTGAGAGCACGTGCCCATCTTCCTGTTGGGCTGATTCCTCCAATCTTACTAGTGCTTAATTCATCTGGATTGATAACGAGCCCCAAAATTATGTGTCTCAAGCAACTGGCCATGAGTGACTCCTCCAAACTTTCTCACACTGCAACGTGCCATTTTCGAGGTGATCTCCCAGATACCTTCTCCCTGGGAAGAAAACATTCTGGGGACCTTCCTGCTGGAAGATGCTTTGCAAACACAGATGTTGTCACGTTGTCCTCTCAACTGAAGGCTGCTGGTGTTCGATAAAACCCCAGGATTTCCTCCACTTCCACCAGCCACCCAATAAAGCAGAAACCCAGGATTTCCTCTGGTCCTACCAGCCACCTGACAAAGCAGAGGGCTGTGGCAATCCCTTTGATTGGGGGAAGTCAGGTTCTTTGGGGCTTGGATATCAGAAGTCACCTTCTTTAGGGCCCCACGATGAAAAGTTCCTGTTATGGATCTGCCTTTGAAAGGAACAGCCAGAAATAGACCCCTTGATTGTCCCTCTGGTCCCAACTGCCCCGGAGCAGCCCAGGGTTTATTTATTTTGCTTTCAAATGCTCTGCAGTTGTTTTGTTCCCTGCCTTTGATGTGGGGCCTGGATGTAGGGCTGGGATGGTGAAGCCACATTCCCATTCCCAGACCTGCCACTCCCCTCGGTGCAGAGGGAAGAGGGAGCGTGGTGGGATCCAGGGGCACCTTTGCATCCAGGAGCCCTGTGGAAGCCCATGTGATTCCTCTTAGGGCACAGATCTTTACTAATCACCCCAGCAACTGCATCACATGGCCATCAGCAGGGCCTGGAGTTTAACCCTTCATGTCTCAGCACAAGGAAACCCAGGATGTAATGCTGGGAAAAGCAGAGGGATGCTCAAACATGGGGCATTTTCCCTCTGGGTGGCCTCTCTTCGGATCTTCCCCTCCCCTACGCCACCAAAAGCCACTGCTGCAGGGGCTGGGTGACAAACCTGGATGCACAGACCCTGTAACACCTCCCACTTATCTTTCCACTGCCAGGAAAGAGGGATTTTTCCTGACAGCACCATCGGTCTGTGGTGCATTTGTCACTCGTGGGACTGCTCCAAACCTGTGCCAGAGACATGGAGCTGCCCCATGTGTGTGGGAGAGCTCCCTCTTCTCTTTCCTTCTCTATCCCTGACCCTCCAGCCCCATTCCATCCTTTGCATCCCGGGCATTGCCTCCTTCACCTCCTTTCTCCCTCCTGCTCCTGCTAAATGCTAACCAGGCAAAAAGATATTCCCTATCATGGTGTGCAAAATGCTCTCTGCTCACCCAGCTGCCCAGGAAACCAGCATCCCTCTGCCTTTTCCCTGGCAGAAGCTATGCCATTTGCAAGGGGGTGCTGTGGGTATGAGCTGTAGGAGAGCCAGGACCACAGGAGCAGCTCATCCACCATCTGGGAATCCATCAGGAGTGAGAAACCCAGTGCAGGGATGTCCAGCAGGTGTGCAAGGCTCTGCTTGTCCAGATCCCAGTTCTAATTCCTGTTCTTCACTGGAGTCACTTTGTCCCTCTCTCCCAGCATCTGTTCTGCATCTACCTTGGGATGTGCTGGATGTATTTAATGCCCCTGGAGCCAGTGAACCTCCTGAGCAAAAGGCACCAATCCTTTTTAAAAACACATCCAGGTGTAACAGGAAAACCAGGAAATGCAGAGACTGATATAATGCTGAGTTTAACCTTAATTCCTGGCTTACAGGTTCAGCCACAGAACCCTAATTTAGCACAAATGAATAAAGGGCTGAGCAGGAGGGGGGTGCAGGGTATCACATTCTGCTGAATCCCTTGGGCTCAGCTTTCCCGAGTTCATTTGCTGCCCTTCCTGAATAATTACCAGTCTAGTTCTTTCTAGGTCTTTTGTTATGGGAATAAGGTACACTTTTTGTTAACAGTGCCTGTAATTAGCTACTGGAACAGCACGTGGATAGACTAGGAGAGCAGGAGGCTCTCCTGACATTTCAAACACCCCTCAGGATGTCTCTTCTCAAAGGTTCTCAGGCTCTGCATGTTCCCACCAGGATCAATGGATCATCACCTTCACCACACGAGGAGGATGCTCCAATCCACGAGCAGCAGGGCACAAGAAACATCACAAGGATCGCTCCATTTCTTGTCCACAGCTGGCCACCAGCTCCCCCTGAAATCCCCTTTGTGTCTGTCACAGGCAAAATCCTCTGAGGTTCCTTTTCCGGAGGTAGCTGCAGGTTTCACTTGGTGTCTCCCCAGCCCTCACTCAAAGCATGGTCCTGGTGCTGCCAAGAAAGGGCTGAGCTGCTGCCCTGGCCCAGCTGGATGGGAGGGGAGCAGAGGGGAGCATTGGTGGTCCGTGCCCAAAACCACATTCCTGTACTGAGAATGTGCCACCCACTTGGCAACCACAGGCATCCTCAGCCTCTGGGTAAGGGAGGGTCCAAGCCTACACCCTGTTCCTTGAAGTGTCCAAGGCCAGGTTGAACGGGGCTTGGAGCAATCTGGGATAGTGGAAGGTGTCCTTGTCCATGGCAGGGGGTGGAATGAGATGAGCTTTAAGGTCCCTCCCCACCTAAACCCATCTGGGATTCCACGACTCCATCAAAGGCAGCAGGACCGTCTGGAGCAGTGCTAAAGCAGAGGAATGAAATCAAAGGCTGTAATTTCATTCCCTGAGGGTGGGTGAGGGTGATGGAGGGAGGGAAGGATGGGTGGGACATAACTAATTACTCACACACCTCTCCTTGCACCCAACCCATCCCTTTGAGGCATCGGAATGTCCCTGCCGGCAAAGGAGGGGCAAGTCAGCACAGGGGCAGCCAGGAGAGGGGACAAGGAAGGAAGCAAGGAAGGAAGGAAGGAAGGGGCTTTTTGATCCTCCTCAGCGCTTGAGGAGCCAACACTTCGCTGCCCTCTCCCCATCTCACCCATGGAGAGTTGTAGCTCCCCAAAAACTCACAGTGAGTTACTCAATTTCACATTTCTGTGCCCTCGCGGTAAAATGGATTCAGCAACATGTCTGGTTGTTCATGATCTATCTCGAATTGTGCCAGAGCAGCTTTAGGTTGGGTATTAGGAAAAAATTCTTCACCAAAAGGGTTGTCCAGCCCTGCCACAGCTGCCCAGGGCAGTGGTGGGGTCTCCATCCCTGGAGGAATTTAAAAGCTGTATGAAAGTGGCACTTGGGGACAGGGGTTAGTGGTGGCCTTGGCAGTGCTGTGGGATGGTTGGACTCGATGGCCTTAGAGGTCTTTTCCAATATAAATGATTCTGTGACTCTTCCTGCTCCAAGGGGCCAGGCTTTTATCCTCCAGGGTCCACAGGATGCTCTTTTGTGTTTCTCATGCTCTATCACCTCCTGGTTGCACAAGAGGAGCCTGGGCTGCTTAACAAACACCAGTCCATGGAGTCCAACCCCTGCAATGAGCAGTGACATCTTCGATCAGATCAGGGGGCTCAAAGCCCCATCCAACCTGACCTTGAGTGTTTTCAGGGATGGGATATCCACCACCTGTCTGGGCAAGCTGTGCCAGTGTCTCACCACCATCAACATAAGAAAATTCTTCCTTTTATACAATCTAAAACTGTTCTCTTGCAGTTTAAAACCACTGCCCCTTGTCCTATTGCAACAGGCACTGCCAAAAGAATCACAGAATCATTTAGGTTGGATAAGACCTCCAAGATCATCGACTCCAACCTTTGATCAAACACCACTTTGTCAACTAGACAAGGGTGTACTGGAGGGAGGAGGGACAAGTGACTGTGCTGGACCATCCACAAATGGCCTACAAAACCTCCCAGACACACAGCATCCTTCAAGCCTCGATGTGCAATTCCAGCCTCCGGGCTTTTTGAGGCTTCAACTGCAGACTTTGGATCAAATCAGGGGTTACAAATCTGCATGTGAGGCTGCCAAGCACAGCCTCAGCTCCCTCAGGGGAGCTCAAGGTCTGTAAGAGAGCACATCCCTGGCACCCCCAGCTCCCCATACCCCCCCATCCCACGCTGCCGTCGCCTCTCTCCAGGCAATTCCCTGCCCGTGCCCGGCACCCTGGAGAGCTGGAACCTGGTTTGAACTGGCTGTTCAATCGCACTCTGCTCTACAATTAACCAAATTAAGGTAACAAGCTCTGACATAAACCCCATTTGCTGATCTTGCCAGCTGCCAAGACTGTGGTAATTGCGCCGGGTCAGCCGGGGCCTTGCTGTGCGAGGGACTGTTTTGGGTCGAGGAGCTGCATGTTCAGACCCTTTCTTTAAAAATGTTCATTTGCTCCCCAGTCATGCCCGTTCCGGTTTTAATGGCACAGCAATCTACTCCTGCAGAAAGCATTTCATGATAATTAAGGATTTTTAACTTGCCCAAACAGCGAGGAGAGGGAATGCGGCCATGGAGAGAGCTCAGCACGAGGAGGGGGGAGAAACCCAGCCAGGGAGAAATGTGGTGTATGTACCAAAAGCCCCAGAGGAGATCATCCACTCAGCTGCTGAGCCATTTCCTGAGAAAAGCAGTGAGAATTCAGTGGACTGAGTCAGAAAAACAAGAGAGAGGCAGGGGCCAGGGTTAGGAGCATCCTTGAAGGCTCGGAGCTCCCGGGAAGCGCAGCTCGGTACCCACGGGAGCTGTTTGCTCCTCTCTGCAGCCAGCTCAGCATCAGGCAGTTCTGAACAGCAGCCTTTAACCTGGGGTCCTGGAGCAGAGGTGTTTATGGTCTGGAACACATGGCCATGACCTTGCAGAGCAGGGAGGGCATCCGAGGAGAAGCCAGAGCTCCTGGGTTACATCCCAGTCCTCACCAACGGCTGCAGATAGGCCATGACCCTTCCCCTCTTCTCAGCTACTTCCTT